ACCCTGCACCCTGTCCTTCAGCGGGAGTGTCTCTCCTGAAGGGCAGAGCACCCCTGAGTTCACGCGCCTGGGCTCCCTGGCAGCTGGGCATGCTCAGGGTAGGGCTCAGAGGCACCTGTGCCCACCTGAAAGGGAGCCAGGGCCAAGAGGCAGGAACCAAGCGGGGCCCGCCACAGGCATGAGCACAGGTGGCAGAGGGGGCGCCCCACGCCCTGTGTCCATGCTGTCCATCGCCCATTGAGGTGTCCTCCTCTCCATTAAGTTGGTTCCCTTGCTGTCCTTTACCGGCAAGAGGCAGGGTCTCACCACACCACCACCCATGCCTTCCAGGCCTGTGGTGACAGGTGGGTGCACCTGGCATGCCCAGCTCAACCTGGCAGCATGCCCCCTGCCTGCACCACTGCAGCCAGGCCCTGGGGGGCTTTTGTGGAGCCCTACAGTAGGGTGCTTCCACTCCCAGGCTTGTCTGCCGCCCAGACAGTGCCCAGGCCTCCCATGCCTGGGCCCTCAGGCCGCCTGGGTCTCTGAGGAAACGCAGCACCCACCAGGGTTTCAGTGACCGCCCGCCGCCCAAGAGCAAGCAGACTGTCCTCTGCCTCCTCTGACAGTGCCCTGAGGCAGGAACTGGTCCTGTCGCATTTCACAGGCGAGGAGCCTGAGGCTCAGGCCCAGCTGCAGGCTAAGCACAGAGGCAGCAGGCACCCGGCCAGCCGCTCCACCTTCCCCACGGAGGGCTCAGGCGGCAGGCAGTTCGACTGCCTCCGTGGGGGGCCCCAGATGTCGGCCTAACTGATGCATGGAGGCCAGCAAGGCCACCTCCTCACTCCATCACGTGGAGCCCACCCCTGTGTATCCACCGTGTGCCAAAGGTCTCCGGGCTGTTTCCCCTCTGGCCGTGACGCTGCCGAGTGTCCCGTGCTGCTCGTTTGAGCACGTGCTACAGCCCTTCGGGGTGCACAGTAAGGAGGAAGCGGCTGTGGGGACTGCCATGCTTGTCTCGCATGGCCACCAGCCGAGTACGAGGGCTCGTTCCCCACACCCTCCCCCACACCTGTCTTGCGTGGTTCCGGTCATAGCCACCCCAGCGGTGGGAGCTGTGCCTTGCCGGTCGCAGGTGAACCTGGAGTGCCCTCCTTACACCTGGCAAGGCCGCGGTGCCTGCTGGTGTCCATGCAGGTGGCCTGGCAGCAGAGGCCCAGCCTCACAGTGCCAAGGCCCCACCCTGTGGGGAGATTCCACCAGACTAAGGGCACTGAAACTGGGGGTGGGGGAGTCCCAGGGCCACTGGGTAAAGCTGGCCCTGGGGGGAGGAGGACCATGAGGATGGAGCCAGTCTGCCTGTGTCAAGGGGACGACCTGGTGGGTGTCTGTCCCTGGTCCAGGCTGGCAGCCTTGCTTGTCATCAGGTGACTGGAGGGACTTGGGGGGTGGGGAGATGAGACAGAGACAGGAAGCTCTGGGAAGACATGGTTGTGAGCCCCTTTGCTTCTGCTGCTGACGCCGAGAAGCCTGAACACAGGCTCACGTGGCCCACGGAGCGCTAAGTCGCATTACAGTGAGCATCCGCGTCCATCTCTCGTCTGGAATCTCACCGGCATCGGAGCTGCGTCCCGCTGCGCACTTTCACGCATGGGTTCCCATAATCCCACAGCAGCCCTGGTGGAGGTACGGTCATTGCCCCGCTTTAAAGAAGAGGAAGTGGAGGGGGTCATGGGCCTTGCCCACGGTCTCCCCATCAGGCTCCAAGCCGGGCTGGTGTGGAGAACAGCCCCATGAGTCCATGCCAGCCTTCCTCCGTGGGACTTGGGTCAACAGGCCCCGTGCAGCAGAGGACCCAGAGAGAGAGATCCCACCCAGGTCCCAGGTCAGCAGTTCCCATTGGGGTGGGCAGGAGGACACAGACAGGACCTGGATTTACAGCGGGACCTGGGTTTGCAGCCGCTGCCCAGGTCAGTCCCAAACATGACCTTTCATCTGACCCAACGGGGACAGTGAGCACAGCCTCCCCAGCGAGCAGAACTGGGTGCAAATTGCAGCTCTCTGCCCACCTTCTCCAAGTTCAGCTCTCCTCAAGATGTGCGGCATCCGTAGGTACGGGAGCTTGTTTAGGGGACCTGTGACCACCTCCACCCTTTCCATGCCTGTCCCCAGCCCAGGGTGCCATCTGCAGCTCAGCTCACACGAGGATACCTTTCACCCCTCGAATGCACTGGGTGGCCCTCCGGGGGCTCCTCGTTGGTCTCCCACTTGTTTGGGGAGAGCGGCCAGCCCAGCGTGCACAGGCGTGACTATGCAGGCGACCTGGGCCGCCTCCCCCCACCCCCGCCCAGATCACATTAGACAGTCTTAGACCCTGCCCAGCGGGTGCTGCAGGTCCATGACCTACACCAGGAGGGGCCTGGGAAGTCTGGACCCCCGTCCCAAAAGGCAAGGCCTGTCTGCTTCTTTGAGAAGGGTGAAACTGCAGGTGCAAGTCACAAGGGAGAGGCTGTCCACCGCGGGGCAGGTGTGGGGGGCACTCACTTTTCTTCCCCTAGACCCCCCCTCCACATCCACCGGCCAGAAGCCTCCGGAGCCCGTACCTGTACCTGTCCCCCTCCGCCAAGTTTGGACTCTGACAGGAATCCCTTTCCGCCCCCAGCGGCCCGGTCTTGGGACGTGGAGGGGTGGTGCGCTGGGAGGCAGGCAAAGGCGGGCGGCGCCCTGGTCTACCAGCAAGGAGGTCTCCGCTGAGGCAGGGCTCCCCTGACCCCCGGCCCCTCCCCTGGTGGCGGCTGCCGCAGAGAGAGGTTCTTGGGGTTCTCAGAGTGAGGCGCGGCAGGCACACAGACCCTCGCCCCGGGGACCCGCAGCACCCCTAGTGCCTTCAGGGCTCCAGGAATCTGCCCGCTCTGCACAGGGCAGGGAGACTCCCCCGCC